CATGTCAAGACCCGAACGCTGAGTTACTGGGGGGAAAGAGGGTGGTGGGAGACCAGAGACTCCCTGTTCTCTGGTAGCGATGGCCGCAGCCGTGGTGCACGGGCCGTTTGGCATTGGCACGGCTTAGGGAAGTAGGTGAGTTCTGGAGAGGAGTGGGATGTCGTGGCCACCACCAGCTCTGTTCCTGACAGATAACAGAGGGTGTGAAGCCCACCTTGTCAGAGCTGGAGAAGTTTGAAGACCAGCCTGAAGGCATTGACCTGGAGGTGGTGACAGAGAGCACGGGTATGCGGGTGCCTCTTCACGCACGCTGCTGTTTCCCGTGCGTTGTTGTTTTCCCCTGACTCTGTTGTCACCCCTAGGGAAGGAGCGTGAGCATAATTTCCAGCCCGGTGACAACGTGGAGGTGTGTGAGGGTGAACTGATCAACCTGCAGGGCAAGATCCTCAGCGTCGATGGCAACAAGATCACTATCATGCCCAAACACGAGGACTTGAAGGTAGCAGAGCACCCAGGGAGCAGCTTCGTGTGGCTGCTGCAGCCTCACCAGGACGCTGCGTGCCTCTTCCCCAGCGCCTGCAGAGTTCTGCTTTTCTTTTAGGACATGCTGGAATTCCCAGCTCAGGAGCTGCGGAAATATTTCAAGATGGGTGACCACGTGAAGGTGATCGCAGGGCGCTTTGAGGGTGACACGGGCCTCATTGTTAGGGTGGAGGAGAACTTCGTCATCCTCTTCTCAGACCTCACCATGCACGAGGTGAGCGGAGGGGTGGAAGGCCACAGTTTGGCTCAGTGTGATGCTGGTAGGAAGGGGAGGAAGGGGGGAAATCGGTCGTGGCAGCTGCGTTTCATTCCTTCTTCCTGCCCCACCACCAGCTCAAGGTTCTGCCACGGGACCTGCAGCTCTGCTCGGAGACGGCGTCGGGAGTGGATGTGGGGGGACAGCATGAGTGGGGTGAACTGGTGCAGCTGGACCCCCAGACAGTGGGTGTTATTGTACGACTGGAGCGTGAGACCTTCCAGGTGAGCCCCGGTTGCCTGTGATGCTGGAAGGAGCTTTGCTGTTTTTTCCTGTGTGTGTTTTCGGGTGTCTTGAAGACTAGAAAGCAGTTTCCATGTGCAGCCCTGTGCCAGAAACGCCTCCCCACCTACTGTTTTGGATCTAGGCAGTCCGTGCTGCCTTGGAGGGCTGTTTTGGGCAGCACCCCTCCAGCTTTTGCCATTCCTGTTTGTGTTTCAGGTGTTGAACATGTATGGAAAGGTGGTGACGGTGCGGCACCAGGCTGTCACCAGGAAGAAGGACAACCGCTTCGCTGTCGCCCTCGACTCAGAACAGAACAACATCCACGTCAAGGACATCGTCAAAGTCATAGATGGGCCCCACTCGGTAGGAACCCTGGGGTTGGGGGTGACTGGGGTGAGACTTTTTGGTCACCTTGGCCTGGTCCTGGTCCGCCATAGATGCTCTGGATTTGTTGGTGCTTTTCTGGGTTGGTTTTTTTTGGCACGTAGGGAACACTGGGTTTTTCCTGACAGCCTTCTGAGTCCTGTTGCTGGGGGAGGTCCTGCCACCCCCTTGAGGCTCACCCCTGCCACTGTCACAGGGTCGTGAGGGAGAGATCAGGCACCTCTTCCGGGGCTTCGCCTTCCTGCACTGCAAGAAGCTGGTGGAGAATGGTGGCATGTTTGTCTGCAAGACCCGACACCTTGTCCTGGCTGGTGGTTCCAAGGTGGGGGCGCGCTGGGCGTCAGTGATGGCTGCTGGAGGGGGCCGTGACCCTGTGCCTTTGTTGCTGCTGCTCTCCAGCACCGTTTTCTTTCCCTTCCGCAGCCACGGGACGTCACCAATTTCACTGTAGGCAGCTTTGCTCCCATGAGCCCTCGTATCAGCAGCCCAATGCATCCCAGTGGGGCCGGTAAGCGTTGCAGGGGTGCCTCCAGGGCCAAGAGAGCGTCCCCAAGGACTTCCTGCTCAGCCTGAGCCCTCGCTTCCTTGTCCTTCAGGCCAGCGTGGTGGCTTTGGTGGAGGTGGCATGAGCCGTGGGCGCGGGCGGCGGGACAACGACCTGATTGGGCAGACGGTGCGCATCTCCCAGGGACCTTACAAAGGTGAGTGGTTTTCGGATGGCAAGAAGCTGTAGGTTGCCCTGGTTCCCTCGTCAAATGACCGTTGGGACTCATAGGCTACATCGGGGTGGTGAAGGATGCAACGGAGTCGACGGCCCGGGTGGAGCTGCATTCTACCTGCCAGACCATCTCGGTGGACCGCCAGCGCCTGACCACCGTGTGAGTACAAGGACAGGGAGCTGTGCTGCTCCCTCTGCAGGACGGCCTCTTAGGGGCTTCTTCACATCCTCGATGCTGCAGGGGTTCAAGGCGCCCGGGTGGGATGACGTCGACCTACGGACGGACCCCCATGTATGGGTCCCAGACCCCCATGTACGGCTCTGGCTCCCGCACTCCCATGTACGGCTCCCAGACGCCCCTCCATGATGGTGAGTGGCGCTGGGGGTCGACAGAGAGGGGACGGAGGTGAAGTGGGTTCTGGGGTGATCTTTTGGTTGGAAAGGGGTGTGTGAAGGAGGCTTTGAGGATGAGGAGGGGACGGGGCTGAGGTGGAGGGGACAGGACTCGGTGGGGACGCAGAGGGTTGTGACGCAGCCATTGTGGGGCTGTTGCAGGCAGCCGCACGCCACATTATGGCTCACAGACTCCGCTTCACGATGGCAGCCGCACGCCTGCTCAGAGCGGCGCCTGGGACCCCAACAACCCCAACACACCTTCCAGGTGAGTGCAGGGGGGGGGAGGAGGGGCTGCTGACCAGGACAGACCCACCGCAGGGTCTGCGGTTACTGTGATGTCCCCAACAACATCACAACAGTCACGTTTGGGATCTCTGATCGCTGCCGTGGCTCCAGCGATTCTGGATTGTCCTCACTGCAGGGGCCCAGTCACTGAACTGAGCTGGCTGTGGTGATGAGGTTTTTCTTCCTTCCACAGAGCCGATGAGGACTTTGAATATGGCTTTGATGACGAGCCCACGCCCTCACCACAAGGCTACGGTGGCACCCCCAACCCACAGACCCCTGGTTATCCTGACCCTTCATCACCGCAGGTCACCCAGCCGTACAACCCCCAGACCCCTGGCACGCCAGCCATGTGAGCATTCCTTCCACTCTGCACTGGCCCTGGAACTCTGGGAGGGGAACCACAGCTCTGTGGAACCACAGTTGGGATCCTGAGGGGAGACTGCAGCCCCAGAGGATCCCAAACCGTGGCTCTGGGTTGACATAATGTTCCCTGAGGTCTCCTACATGCAACACAGCATCCTCATGACTCCCTCTCGCCCTGGCAGGTACAACACTGACCAGTTCTCACCCTACGCTGTGCCATCGCCACAAGGCTCCTACCAGCCCAGCCCCAGCCCCCAGAGCTACCACCAAGTGGCCCCCAGCCCTGTGGGCTATCAGAACACCCATTCACCAGCCAGCTACCACCCAACGCCATCACCGATGGCCTACCAGGTACCTCCAGTTCCACTCCCTTGCCTCCCATAGCCTCCCACTGCTGCTTATGCCGCCTTCTCTCTCCCTCAGGCAAGCCCTAGCCCCAGTCCAGTGGGCTACAGCCCCATGACACCTGGGGCACCATCTCCGGGGGGCTACAACCCCCACACCCCTGGTTCAGGCATCGAGCAGAGCTCCAGCGACTGGGTGACCACTGACATCCAAGTGAAGGTCCGGGACACCTATCTGGACAGCCAGGCAGTGGGACAGACCGGGGTGATCCGCAGCGTCACGGTGAGCCCACGGTGGTACCACGTGTGGGGCGGTGACAGGACTGTAACAAACCTTATCACCGACTCTCTGTTCTCCCCTTCCCCCCCGCAGGGTGGAATGTGCTCTGTGTACCTGAAGGACAGCGAGAAAGTGGTGAGCATCTCCAGTGAGCACCTGGAGCCCGTCACCCCCACCAAGAGCAACAAGGTACGCTCATCACCGCTGCCCATGCCGCCCCTGCCCCCCTCTTGGGCTCCGCCTCCCCCTCCTGCCTTGCCCGGGGACCCCCTTGGCTCTCCCACCCCTTTCAGTCCCCTTCACTCTCCCTGGATCCCACCGCACAGCGTAGGGGAGGGCTCGCGGATCCCCGTGGCCCTTCCTGGGCTACCTACCAGATAACCCTCAGCCTCATTGGGCTCCTGCTGTCCCCACAGGTGAAGGTGATCCTGGGCGAGGACCGAGAGGCTACCGGCATCCTGCTCAGCATCGACGGTGAGGACGGGATTGTGCGCATGGACCTGGACGAGCAGCTCAAGATCCTCAACCTGCGCTTCCTCGGCAAGCTGCTGGAGGCCTGAGCGCTGCCTGGGTCCCCTTCGTTTTTCTCCCCGGCCGCCCGTTTAAAGCGAGATGGCCGTATCCAATAAACGCTTGTGACCCCTCGACCCGCATTCCCTTGAACGCGGCGCTCCGAGGCGAGACTCTCCTGTCTGGGCCTCCACCCTTCCAGCAGCTCTTCCTCCGCCGCTGCTTTGCGCTCTCACGGCCCCCCACAGCCGTCCGCGTCTCCTCCGGGGAAGAGGCGGCGGCGCGACTTACACGGCGTGCTTCCGGGAGGGCGCGGGGGGCGATGGGCATTGTAGGCACTGCCAGCCAGTCAGCGCCGAGCGCGCGGCATGCCGGGAAGCGTGGCAGCGGGAGACGGCGCGCCGCTTTCAGTCAATCAGACCCGGCCGCGGGGCTTGTCGGGAAGCGTGGCGACAGAGATGATAGCGCGGCGCGCAGCTCGCCGGGGAAACGCGGGGCTTCCAGCCAATCAGCGCCGACCGCTGGGTATGCCGGGAAGCATGGCTATTGGAGACGGCGCGGCGCTGCAGCCAATCAGCGGTCCCCGCGCTGCACGCCGGGAAGCGCGGCGCTTTCAGCCAGTCATCAGCGCCGACCGCTGGGCACGCCGGGAAGCGTGGCTTTCCCAGTCCTAGAGACAAGCGCTGCGGGAAAATGGCGGCGACGGCGGCGGCGCGTGGGGCCCGCATCGCCCTCGCGGCCCACCGGGCCCTCGCCGCGCTGAGTCGCGCCGTGAGCAGCAGCGGTGCGGGCACTTCCGGTACGGAAGCGGTGCTGCAGGAACGGCTACGGCAGCAGCAGGCGGTAGGAGGCGTGGGAAGGGCCGGTCCTGAGGGTTCGGTGCTCGCAGCGGAGCCTCCGGGCCTCACCGTCATCCTTACGCAGGGCCTGGAGGGAACCCCGGGGCGGCCGAACCCCGGTAATGAGGAGGAGGAGCAGCGGAGGAAGCAGCGTTTGGCGGCCGTTCGGCGGCTGGCCCTGCGGCTGGCGGGGCTGCTGGGTGCCGGTACCGGCATCACCATCATCTACATCTTCGGTAAGGACCCCCGCGGTGCTGCAGTCCGATCCCCGCCCCCCACCCAACCCCAAACCCCGCCTCACGTTCTCCCTTCCCCCCAGGCAGCAACGCTGTGGATGAACACGGAGCCAAGGTGAGCTGCGTGTCCCAACGCCGGTGATCCGTGTTGGGAATGGCCAAATAATTGTTGTCAGGACGGTATTTCTGATAAAAAGCGGATTTTATTCGCGATTGCAATGGCAGGAGCAGCGCTAAGGCACAGTGACAGCTTTTCCCTTACGAAGGCAGGCTGAGGGAGCTGGGCTCATTCAGCATGGAGAAGAGAAGCTGGGGGGTGACCTCAGTGCAGCCTGAGGTGCCTGAAGGGAGCCTGCAGACAGGAGGGGAGTCAGCTCTGTGCAAGGGTTGGCAGCAGCAGGACGAGGGGAAATGGTTTGGAGTCGAGGGAGGGCAGCTGGAGGTTGGATGTCAGGGGAAGTTGTGTGCTGTGAGAGCGGGTAGGGGCTGGAACAGCTGCCCAGAGAGGCTGTGATGCCCCGTCCATCCCTGGAGGTGTTCAAGTTGGATGGGGCCCTGGGCAGCCTGGGCTGCTGTGAAATGTGGAGGTTGGTGGCCCTGCGTGTGGCAGGGGGTTGGAGCTTCGTGACCCTTGAGGTCCCTTCCAGCCCTGGCCATTCTGTGATTCTTTGTACCCTTTTTGCTTGCCCCCCCTCCCCCGTTTCCCCATTGGCTGGGTGCTCCAGGTTCACAATCTTCTCCAAGGTTTCCATCTGTTCATTGCTGTCTTGCATTCAGCTGCCACCCCCTTGTTTCCGAGGTGTCTCAGTGCTCTCCTTGTATTCATATGGTGATTTTCTTCAAACCCTTCGTTAAACAAAGAACACCGGGGGGTGGAGGGGGGATGCCAGGCCTTCCCGATGTCTCTTCAGGCTCTTCCTTGGGCACGTCACGATTTGCTCTCTGGTGCATATCGTGCAGGATATTCCTGCAATATGCACGGCAAAATATGCCTGTATACACCTGTATGCTGAGCACACATTCCCGAGGAAGGTTCTCTAGAAGATAAGCGATGCAAACTATCAGAACCTCTCCCAAGTAAAGTAAAAAAGACTCCCGACAAGAACTGTGCCAGCGGAGACCATGAAATAAAAAAAAAATAGGATTTAGTTCTAATGCAGAAACATTTGACTCCTAAATCCATCACGGCTCTGCACTGCCCTCAAAACCAACCGGGGGAGGCTTCCCATTTCGTGGTGGTTTTTGTTTCCCCCCTCCCCCTTGCCCTCCATCCAAAGCCCCTTTTTGGGGCCGAGAAGAGCCGTCAGGGTTTGATGTGCGGCCTGAGGGGGAGCTGTGAATTGTTCCCCTTCATCCGGGGCTGTTGGGACATCAAAAGGGCAGGGGGAAAATAGCCAGGGGGTGACAAAGCAATCGGCAGGATGGTGAGAAAATCAACGAGGGGCATCCACGGGCGGAAGGAAGCACTGCTAGCACAGGAAAAACACCTCACCTAGCTGTAAATCACCCTGCCTGGGGTTCCCTCTTCCCACCCTTTTGGTCGTGGTTTTTCTTGCATTTGTTTTTCTTTCCCTGCAGGTCCCCGATGAGTTTGATGGTGGTGAGTAACAAACGGAGCAGGGGGGGGAGGCGACGGCCCTTGCAGGGGATGGGGGACAGGTTGTGTCCCCTGGGCTGCTTTGACACATGGCAGCGGCCTTTTGTGATGTTTTTAGCACCAGCTGGTTGCCCCAGCAGGGCTTTTTCTCCTACGTGTTGTTTCTTTTCGTTTCTATGGGGATGGTAGGAAGAAAGAGATTGGGATTTTCACCCTCCTTGAGACCCCATGCATTCACCCATGCTTGGTTCCACAGACCCTGTGGGCATCCAGCAGCTCCGCAGGACATATAAGTACTTCAAGGACTACAGGCAGGTGCGTGGGGCTTTCCCCATTTGGGTTTTTATCTCCTTTTGGGGCCATTCTTGTTGGAAGCCTTGCTGATGTCAGCAGCAGCAGCAGCACTTTAAGACCCCCGTGCTCTTCGGGGGGATCTTTGCCCTCATCCTGGCGACGTCGTGGCCTGGTTTTGGGGTTTTATTGTGGATCTTATGGGGTGGGGGGGGGATTCTCATCCCTGTGTGAAGGGCCTTTGTCCCAGCGTCGGTGGCCTGTCTCTTGCTCTTTCTCAATCAAGATGATCATCGAGCCCACCAGTGCCAAGCTGCTGCCAGACCCTCTGCGTGAGCCCTACTACCAGCCGCCCTACACTCTGGTCATCGAGCTCACCGACGTCTTGCTGCACCCCGAATGGTCGGTGAGTGGCAGCCCGTTGTTCCTGCCTCCCTTCCTTTGCTGACGGCCTCATCTCTTGCCTCCTTTTGCCTCCTTTCTCTGCTCCAGCTCATCACTGGCTGGCGTTTCAAGAAGCGTCCGGGCATCGACAGCCTCCTGCAGCAGCTCGCGCCGCTCTACGAGATCGTCATCTTCACCTCCGAAACGGGCATGGTGTGTGCAGCCATGGGGAAGGGGCTGAAGCCCAAAGGTGGGCTCGACTCGACCCCCCCCC